ACCGGTTCGAGCACCGTTTAAGCACCGGCACCGTTCAAAAGTACCGGTTTGGTACTGGTATCAGATAAAACCTAAATGATACCCATCCTTAGTGAGGAGACAAAAAAGGCTGTGAGTAGAGAGGACAGAGCAGCACAGCTGGCTCCAGTGGACAAAGCCCTCTCAGTGTTTCTTCCATTAGAACCTTTAATAAGACCCAAAAAGTTGAGGAAGCTCATTGTTGGCACACAGACGAACCCTCTGCTGTGACCTAGCAAATGAGTGTGATTCTGAAGGCACAGCTGTTACCTGAGTGTACATGCACGTAAGCACCACCACTGATGGTGTCAGCCTGAGTGCTGATTCAAATAACACTGACGAGAACAATTATGTAATATCCACTGCAGACACCTGGGCAGTCAGGATGGGAAAATTCAAAGGCACAGATGAAGGGTGGAGTATGTGTTTAAGCGCATGCGCGAGTGTCTGTGTGTGTGTGTGTGTGTGTGTGTGTACTGTATGTGTGTGGGGGTGTTTGGTTCCTTTTCTCATGAACTGTATTAACCCATACACAGACTGAGAGAATCTTGTGCTTTTCCCCATTTCCAGCTGGCTTAGTGCTGTTTATTTGTGGGTCTGAAGACACAGACCAACAGGAGCCAGTGAGTCACACACACACAAACATGCACGCACACAGAGCACTTCCTTTTGCTATACAAAGAACATCCTCCACAGACTTTCTAACGAATCTTATATCTTTTTATAGGACCATCTAAAATAACTCTGTAATGTGTAAACAGGAAAAAAAATTAGAAAGGGCTCCAATTATGAAAGTATAACTGAGACTTATTATGCTTAGATGTACACACAGACAGAAATTTTGGTCTACTACAGACTGTTTATATTCATAGATTTATTATAGCCCGAGGAGTCATATGTTAGATGACAAGTTACTAAGAATTATAACTGAAAATAACTCAATAACTCGTTTATCTTGTCATATTTTCAGACACATTTGCTTTTGTTAAAACTGAGACAAGTTTCACAAACAAATAAAAAACCCTTAATTTATACTGGACAACAATGGCAACCAAGAAACTGGCTACAATGTGCATAATTCACTGAGTTGTGTGTTTGCTCTTGGTAATGCACAATGTGCAAGCATACAGGAGCACAGACAGATGTCTCTTCTAAATACAACTGGATTTGCTAAGAGCAAGTCAAGTACATCCATCATGCCCAGACAAACTGTGAGAGAATAAGAAGACGACTAAGTTCCCAACTACCTATTCAGACAAGAAAGGAAAGACCGACACTGAGTGGAAATCCTGCTTCAAGGAGGACCAAAATGTGAAAAACAAAACAAATCAACAAATAGTGGAAAAGGAACCCCCCCCCCCACAAAATAAGCATAAACTGTATATAAAAGATGGATATAGCTACTGTGACCCATTGCCATATTGGGTTTCTGAAAAAGAACATGACAAACAGCTGATTTAGACTGGTAAAGCCTACAACGTAACCTACTTAAGCAGCCGACGGCATTGCCAGCATTCATGCGTCTGCATGCTGTATTATGTGTTAATCATCCTGTGGTTGTGTATAATATGCACTGGGACACAACCCAGGAAATTACAGTGGTGTGAAAAAGTGTTTGGAAGACTTGCTGTGGTAAATGAAATCATGAATTCTGCTTTCTACCAAAACATCCTGAAGGAGAATACCCTGCCATCTGTTTGTGACCTCAAGCTCAAGTGCACTTGGGTTCTACAGAAAATGGAGATTTTGGCGTAGCCTTCGCTTGAATCCGATTGAGATGCTGTGGCATGACCTTAAAAAGGCAGTTTAGCTCGTTCACCTTCATTTAGAAAATGCAAGTATAACAAACATACAAAAAAAATGGGAAACACTTTTCACACTACTGTAAATCTGGTGCAAGCTACGACTGAAACAAAT